AAATCTTTAAAAATATATATATATAAAGTTATTTTCCTCTGATTTCACTTAGAAATCTCTGTGAAATCATCTTACATAATGCATTGCCTAATGCAATATACATGGCAACAGTTTACACTTGTATACATATGTTGAAATATTGCCCTACATTCTACCAAAAATCTGTAAGTTGTATATGTTTATCCCAAAAAAAAAAAGTTGTTAAAGGAATGTTTAAAGGTTTATTTATTGAAAAGGCATAATTACATACAGGCATCCACTAGTTCACCCCCCCGCAAAATGGCCACAATGGCCAGGGCCAGGCCAACCTGAAGCCAGGACACAGGAGCTTATTCCAGGTCTCCCACATGGGCTCAGGGGCCCAAGGACCCTGCTTTCTCAGGTCATAACAGAGAGCTGGATTGGAAGTGGAGCATCTGGGACTCAAATGGGGCCCATATGGGATGTCGGCACTTCAGGCAGTAGCTTTACCCTCTACACCACAACTCCAGACCCAGGAATATTTTTAAAAAAGAAAATTTGGATGATTAAATCCTGTTGGTTCTAGAATCCAGACCCTGGAGGATAAGGAAAGTCTATAAAATCTTCACTGATTTTTTTTATTTATTTGACAGATAGTGTTGCTGTGGATTCATTCTGAGAGGAGGAGCGTGGTGGGGGCAAGAGGCATGGAGTCACCACAGAGACCCCAGGAGTCGGGTGAAAGCAGGCAAGCAGCCTGAAGACTCATTTATTTCATTTGCTACAGCAGCTTGTATAGCCAAGGCAGCCAATCCGGTCAAGGGAAGGTCTATGCCCTAACCAATCACACCCTGTTGCCAGATAGTTTCTGAAGCCATCCAGTCACAGCCTGTTGCCAGTCAGGCTCTGTTGTCATGTGGTTTTCTAAGGCATCAAATCACAGCCTGTTGTCAGTCAGGCTCCATTGTCATGTGGTTTCCAAAACCATCCAATCACAGCCTGTTGCCAGGCAGTTTCTGTTGCCAGTGGCCACCTTGGCATGGCCTTCTCATTCCAACACAAGATAGAATTACACAGTGAGAGAGAGAGACAGAGAGAAAGATCTTCCTTCTGTTGGTTCACCCCCGAAATGGCCGCTATGGCCAGAGCTATGCTGATCCAAGGCCAGGAGCCAGGTGCTTCTTCCTGGTCTCCCATGCTGCTGCAGGGGCCCAAGCACTTGGGCCATCCTCCACTGCACTCCCGGGCCACAGCAGAGAGCTGGACTGGAAGAGGAGCAGCCAGGACTAGAACTGGCGCCCATATGGGATGCCGGCACTGCAGGTGGAGGATTAACCAAGTGAGCCACAGAGCCGGCCCTTCACTGATCATTTTTTACAAACATTTAAGTTGGAGATAATGGCAGTCCTACAAACATTATCCAAAATATTAAAGAAAGTACCCTTGTAATATTACCATCTATTATGAGCAACCAGAGGTACCAAAAAGAGATCAAGATATATTGTAAGAAAAGTATATTACAGACTGATACATGCTACAATATGGAAAAAAACTTAGAAACATTAGTGCCAAGTGAAAGAAATTGGTCACAGAAGATGACAAGGGATGTGATTCAAAGTGTACAATATAAGCAGATTCGTATTATCCAGGGCTGGGTCTCTGTAGAATATTTTGGTTTCTTTATATATGAAGCATGTCATATACAATCAAGGATAATTTGACTTCTTCCTTTCTTGTTTGTATGCCTTTTTTTTTTTTTTTTGACAGAGTGGACAGTGAGAGAGAGAGACAGAGAGAAAGGTCTTCCTTTGCCGTTGTTTCACCCTCCAATGGCCGCCACGGCCAGCGCGCTGCGGCCGGCGCACCGCGCTGATACGATGGCAGGAGCCAGGAGCCACGTGCTTTTTCCTGGTCTCCCATGGGGTGCAGGGCCCAAGCACCTGGGCCATCCTCCACTGCACTCCCTGGCCACAGCAGAGAGCTGGCCTGGAAGAGGGGCAACTGGGACAGAATCCGACGCCCCAACCGGGACTAGAACCTGGTGTGCCGGCGCCGCTAGGCGGAGGATTAGCCTAGTGAGCCGCGGCGCCAGCCTGTATGCCTTTTCTTTCTTTCTCTTGCCTAATGGCTCTGGCTAAAACTTCCAGAACTATAATGATTAAGAGTGGCTGCAGTGAGCAACTATCATCAGTTGGGATGAAAGACCCTTGTGATGTGCTGTTGGATTCAGTTTGCTGGTATTTTGTTGAGAATTTTTGCATCTGTGTTCATGAGGGATATTGGGCTATTTTCTTTTTTATCATGTCCTTATCTGGTTTTGAAATCAAGGTAATATCCTCAGGTTAGATAAAATAAGCATGCCCCAAATATATGTTGCCTACTAGAAATGCAATTTAAGTATGAAGACATAAATAGGCAAAATAATGGAACAAGATTTCCGCACTAACATTAGTCCAAAGATGTTGCTTTCGGAATGAATGTGGTATCCCTCCAGTGAAAGTAATGAAATAAATGCAATATGAATGACACTCAAAATACTTTGCCAAGAGAAGGAAACCAAACCAAAGTATATACTTATGGTTCTATTTGTGTAAAACTCAAGCAAATGAAAACTGAGCTTTGGTGACATAAAGTAGATCAATAGTTCTTTGCAGAAGGAGGAAGGGAAGGTCAACTAAAGAATACCACCAAACTTCTGGGAGTGATGAATATATATATTTTTTTTCACTGTTGATTGTGGTGATTATTTCATGTGTGTGTTTGAAAGTTCATCAAATTTTAAATCTTAAATATAAGCAATTTATTGCATATCAACCTTACCTCAAAAAAGCTGTTAAAAAAATTTTTTAAGTTGAATCTTGTCCAAGAGCTGGATAATTGTTTACAAGAAATGAAATTTGCCTCCTCCCCCAAAAAAATACTAAGTGGCTGTTGACAAAAGCCAGATTCTGGTCAACAGTAAACCCCACCAGCACTGTGGCAATAGCGGGTAAAGCTGCCACCTGTGATGTTGGCATTCCACATTGGTGCCAGTTCTAGTTCCCGCTGCTCCTCTTCCAATTCAGCTCTCTGCTATGGCCTGGGAAAGCAGTAGAAGATGGCCCAAGTCCTTGGGCCCCTGCACCCATGTAGGACACCCAGAAGAAGCTCCTGGCTCCTGGCTTCAGATCAACGCAGTTCTGACCATTGCAGCCAGTTGGGGAGTGAACCAGCGGATGAAAGACCTCTCTCTCTCTCTGCCTCTCGTTCTCTCTCTGTGTAACTCAGTCTTTCAAATAAATAAATAAATCTTTACAAAGAGAGAGAGAATGTTCCAACATGGGAAGCAATACACACAACAGACTCATAGAATGAAAATTGCTAAATAGCACTCTGACCTCAGAATCAGCCCTTAAGGCATTCTAGTCTGGCTGAAAATCCCATGAAAGCATTTCAGGCATGGAAAACCAAGACACTGTGGCAAAAAAATATCTGTGAGATCCTAGTGGAAAGAAGTGGCCATCAAAAAAGGGCGTACTTTTCTCTTAAGGGAGGAGAGAAATTCCACTTTGCTTATGGCTTTGTCTAAATACTGACAGAGATTGTGGATTCAGAAGGCTTCCATAGCCTTGACAGCTCATGTCAAAAGCCTCAGATGATCACTGACATCATACATAAGAGTGTCAATTGTTATATTAACAATGGGAGTCACTGTTCACTTACTTCCCATATAGGACCTCTGTCCTCAATGAGTTATATTGTGAAAATTAACTTTAAAACTTGTTCTCAAACAGTTTTTTTCTGTGTGTGTGTTTGCAAATTGTTGAAATATTTACTTAGTATACAGTTGGTCTTCTGTGTATAAAGTTAATTGAAAATGAATCTTAATGGAGAATGGGACTGGGAATGGGAGAGGGAGGAGGAAGTAGAGTGGGAGTAGGGGTTGGAGGGTGGGTGTGGTGGGAAGAATTACTGTATTCCTAAAGTTGTACTTATGAAATTTGTACCCATTAAATAAAAGGTTTCTTTGAGGGAAAAAAAAGAATTCACAATAAAAAAATTCACGGATGAAAAAAAAAAAAAAACAGTAAACCCCAAATTTTAACAAACATGGTATGAATAATATTGAGTTTAATGCCTCCATCACCTTTCAAAACAATGATTTAAATCTTCCAGAACCTGACAATCCTCCAAATGTTGTTTTCACCCTCCTTGTTTCTCTCTCTCTCTCTCTCTCTCTCTCTCTCTCTCCTTCCCTGCCTTTCTCTCTCTCACCTGTTGTATAATTTGATAATCAAACCACAGTAGTTGGAGATCCCTCTTTGGCAAAAGAAGACTATGAATTCACATGTCTATTCTACCTTGTTACAGCATGACCACTATTGAGTTTTTTGAGTCTTCTTTTATACATAAAATACAGGAGGGGACTTCAAAAAGTTTGTAAAAGTAGAGTAAAATTTTGTGTTGCTACAAAAAAAATTTCTGAAATCCAAGGAAGAGAAGTCTTGAAAACGTTCATGTAAGTGCATATAATGATAAAACTATGCAAGGATATCAAATATTTTTGCACTAACATGTGCATTCCATTATCTATGAGCTTGTTGAAGTACTCTCATACTACTCCCTATATTTCAAAGCTGTCATAATAATGAAATAACACGCTTAGTAGATCAACTGGCCAACAAATGTTAATTAGTATAATTATCAATCCAGTAACAGAGAAATTTCAACTTTACAAAATAGGGTTTCTCATTCTTGGAAATAATGCATTGTTAGAGAAAGAACATAGTAAAAGTGATTGAGATTGTTACCCTTACTTTCCAGCAGTCCATGGGGGAAAACATAAACCTGATGAGTCATGGAACAGGGTGGAAATGGACGGTCACTCAGCCTTGGATAGAAGGGCTCAGCAGCTGCACCACCAGTCAATGCTTTGAAAGGATGGGTTGGATGCAGGACCACTGGAATCACAGCAGTTTCCAGGGTGGACATAATTTTGACCTGATCCCAGCTCTGCTGAGCACTTTGATCAAAGCCATCCGCACCTCCCGGTTTCTCAGACTGTAGATGAGAGGGTTGAGTGTGGGGGTGATAAGGCTGTAGAAGAGAGAAACCACATTGTCCTGGTATGGGCTGTGGTAGGAACTAGGTACCATGTATATAAACACTGCAGCGCCATAAAAGAGTCCCACTACGGTGATGTGAGAAGAGCACGTGGTGAATGCCTTGTTTCGGGCCTCCTCTGAGTGCATGCGTAGAACAGCCCCTAATACGTGACCATATGAGGTGGCGATGAGGGAAAGCGGAAGTATGAGGATCAGCACCCCAGAAGTGGACAGTGCCAACTCATAGGCAGAGGTGTCTACACAAGAGAGCTTCAGCAGGGCTGGCACCTCACAGAAGAAGTGGTCCACGATGTGGGAGGCACAGTAGGGGAAATGCAAGGTGATGGATGTCTGGATGCAGGCATTGAGCACACCTGCTATCCACGAGGTACCCACCATTAGCAGGCACACCTGATGCCTCATGAGCACAGGATACTGCAAGGGATGGCACACAGCAACATAACGGTCATAGGACATGAGAGCCAGCAGGACACCCTCAGCCACACCCATCAATGTCAAGAAGAATATTTGAGCTGCACAACCCCCAAAGGAGATGGAACCTTCTCCCTGTAGAAAGTCTGATGCCATCTTGGGAATGGTGACCAAGGGGAAGCCAACATCCAACAGGGAGAGCTGGCTGAGCAGAAGGTACATGGGTGTATGAAGCCGGGAGTCCATGCGGATCAAGAAAAGTAGAGTAGTGTTGCCCAAAAGGCCCATGATAAACATAGCAGCCACCAGGGAGAAGAGGAGCTGACGTGGCCCTGACTGACTAAAGAGTCCTACCAGAATGAAGTCCGAGGACACGGATTCATTTACATGCCTCATGTTATATACAAAAGACTTCAGCTGGAGGAGGAAGAGACTGTGGCAAGACACCTGAGTATGTACAGCAGATAATTTTTTAGAGAGGAAGCAATAAAATTGTTTAATTCATAAATTGTCTCTAAAAAATCCAAAAGAATTTATAATATACTAAAATAATAATTTAATTTAATTGAAAAGAATAATTTGATGAAAAACAAAATTATCATATGTAAATAAATGCTTACTATTAGCCTATAAAATATTATGTATATTTTAAATTATTTCATTAAGATTATATTTTGCCTTATCAATTTTCTAAGTAGTTATTATAAGCATTGCATCATCTAAAGCATCAGTCCATCCTTTTTTATATAAAATCATTCTTTTTTAAATAACATTTTTAATTTACACTGCAGTTAAAAGCTTAATCATTCTACAAAATGAAGAGCTCAACAAGTAAAAAGTAAACCATTTTCATCCCACATGCCAGTCATCACCATTTGGTAGTGGCTGCCTGTGATATTGTCTTTTTTTCCCCAGAAACCTTTCATTTTGGGAATACAAACCTCATATATTTCATAAGTACAATTTTAGGAATATAGTGATTCTTCCCACTATACCCACCCTCCCACCCCTCTTCCTCCTCCCTCTTCTATTCCCATTCTTATTTTTTTCTAAGATCTATTTTCAATTAACTTTATACACATACAATTAACTCTATACTACATAAGGAGTTCAACAAATTGTATTAAAAAAAATAACTGTTCCTCAACAGCTGATACAAGGGCTGTTCAAAATCATTGCATATCAGAGTGTTAATTTCACTTCTTTAGATTACCTTTTAGGTGCTCTGTTAGTTGTCACAGATCAGGGGGAATATATGGTATTTGTCCTTTTGGGACTGGCTTATTTGTGATGCTGTATTGAGGTATGAGGCCATGCCTAAGATCAGTAGGAAGGGGGGGTGAACCCCTTGATCACTTAGTGATATCTATCACAGGCATGAGATGAGAAAGAAATTACTTGAATTTCTGATTGAGACACCTGGCCACATCCTAGTCAAAAGCTAACCACTTTTTTTTTTATCTTTTATTTAATGAATATAAATTTCCAAAGTACGTCTCATGGGTTACAATGGCTTCCCCCCCCATACCGTCCCTCCCACCCACCACCCTCCCCTTTCCCACTCCCTCTCCCCTTCCATTCACATCAAGATTCATTTTCGATTATCTTAGTATACAGAAGATCAGCTTAGTATACCTTAAGTAAGGATTTCAACAGTTTGTTCCCACACAGAAACATAAAGTGAAAAATAATAGATGATTTTTTTTAAATGATGATGAAATCAGATCAGACCTATTGTCATGTTTAATCCCAGTGAGAGTCAAGTTGGGAATTGATAGTTTCTTTTTTTTTTTTTAACAGAAGATCAGTTTAGTGTACATTAAGTAAAGATTTCAATCGTTTGCACCCCCATAGAAACACAAAGTGAAATATACTGTTTGAGTACTCGTTATCGCATTAAGCCTCAGTGTACAGCACATTAAGGACAGAGATCCTACATGAGGAGTAAGTGCACAGCGACTCCTGTTGTTGACTTTACAAATTGACACTCCTGTTTATGGCATCAGTAATCTCCCTATGCACCAGTCATGAGTTTCCAAGGCTATGGAAGCCCCTTGAGTTCTCCGACTCTTATCTTGTTTAGACAAGGTCATAGTCAAAGTGGAGGTTCTCTCCTCCCTTCAGAGAAAGGCACCTCCCTCTTTGAAGACCTGTTCTTTCCACTGGGATCTCACTCACAGAGATCTTTTTGCCAGAGTGTCTTGGCTTTCCATGCCTGAAATACTCTCATGGGCTTTTCAGCCAGATCCGAGTGCCTTTAGGGCTGATTCTGAGGCCAGAGTGCTATTTAGGACATCCGCCATTCTATGAGTCTGCTGAGTATCTCACTTCCCATGTTGGATCACTCTCCCCTTTATTTATTCTATCGAGCTAACCACTTTTTAATTTACATTAAATTAAAAATTAAAAATGATTTTGCAGTCAAAATTTTGAGTGCAAGTTAAAGTAACATCGTCCTAACAGAATGCTTCAAGGTCCCTCATTCCAAGGATCCTTTGGCCAAAGCAGTGATGAGATTCCAAATAGGCTGGGAGGTGAAATAAGGGGTCATAGGTCACATATCAAGCAAGAAAACAGAGAGAAGGGCCTTTGTGAAAATTCCTTGATGAGAATCTGGAGCAAAGCAAAAGTATATTGATCCAACACTGAGGTCAAACTGAGGGTGTGACTCTAAAGTTACAACCACAGAGGCATTGTGACAGCAGTATAGGTGACAGCATATTGGGAGCTGAGTGGCCTAGGGTTGGGGAGACAATTATCAACAAGCTTAGCTATTATTGGTGGCTTCAATGTATTGGATGGTAGACTAGAATCCTGTAAGTAGTGTGACTCAGTTTCAAGGATTACTATATGACACTAGTCCTAGAAGATTTTATACCTCTAATAAATATTTCCTGAGTAAATAAGGTAAACAAAAAAGATGACCAAGGACCAAGAGGCACTGTACACTTAAATCAGGACTACTTCATTTCCTTGACAACCTCCAGGCTCCTGGAGAAACCTAGACTGTCCTGAAATACACAACCCACAACTCCCAACAATGTAAAGTTCAGGATCCAACAAATGTCTGTCCTCAACTTGGAGTGGTTAAGAAGCAGCAACGCTGGCCACTCAAAGACAAGTAGATTCTATTGAGAGTCCTCCCTGAGTCCTGTCATGAGGCTTCCATTAGAGTTATTCCTCACTCAAGGCCGCCTTTGGTTATTTGTCACACTGTCACACCCAAGTCATCACCATTCATTCATGTACTCAACAAAATTTGTCATGCACTGGGCTGGGCATAAGGTATTTGTAGGTTAATCACCCAAGAAAGATCTCCATTTCCCTGGACCCCACAGTCTCCATAAGCAGTCTGTGACAGGAAATAAATGAACAGAATCTTTGTAAAAGATGGAAATGCAGTCGGTGAGGTGTGTGATGTTCTGTAGCTGGGTCCACCATAAGTCAAGGTTGAAGGAGCCTCTTGTTGGAAGGGATTTTTTAAAGGGACAGGGTAGGATCAACTACCTCATGCTAGAGGGGTGGACACTGAATCCAGCTATATGGTTTACCCCAACAAAGAACTTTCTAAGAGTGAATTCCAACCAACAGTGGAGTAGAGTTTCTCACTGGTGGCATCTTCCAAAATAGTCAATGATAAAAGAGAGTAAGTTGCAGAATTTAAAGTATGAGAGGGGACATAAGCATTGTCCAAATTGTTTCAGAATAGTCTGATCAGAAATGAAATGAATGGGTTGGCATTATTGCAGAGCCGTGTAAGTTGTGGGCTAGAACACCTGAATCCCACATCAGTGTGCCCACTTTTAACCCAGCTTCCTGCTAATGTGTCTGGGAAGATGGAAGATAATGGCCCAAGTATTTGGGTACCTGCCACGTATGTGGGATGCCTGGAATGGAGTTTCAAGCTCCTGAATTTTGCCTAGCCCAACTCTGGCTGTTGCTGGTATTTAGGAAGTGAACCAATGGATGGAAGATATCCTCTTGTCTCTCCTTTTCTGTCACAGTACCTTTCAAATAAATTTTTTTTATTTTTTTGACAGGCAGAATTAGACAGTGAGAGAGACAGAGATAAAGGTCTTCCTTTTTCCGTTGGTTCACCCCTCAAGTGGCCACTACGTGCGCTGCACTGATCCCAAGCCAGGAGCCAGGTGCTTCCTCCTGGTCTCCCATGGGGTGCAGGGCCCAAGCACCTGGCCCATCCTCCACTGCACTCCCGGGCCACAGCAGAGAGCTGGACTGGAAGAGGAGCAACCAGGACAGAATCCGGTGCCCCAACTGGGACTAGAACCTGGGGTTCTGGTGCTGCAGGCGGAGGATTAGCCTATTGAGCCATGGCACCAGCTCAAATAAATTTTAAAATCATTTTTTTAAATAAAATATTATAGAAATGTATTCGTGATGCTTTGGGTATCCAGGGGATGAAGATGGCTGGAATGGCGTCAGGGAAGACTTCATTGGGACATTGGAACTGAGTTTTGAAGATGAAGTGGAAGTTTTCTATATGTTAGAGGAAAGAAGATTGTTCCAGGCAGAAGGCCTAGAGCACAGGAGTTATATGGACAAGTGGTTAAAAGAATGAACTCAAGAGTAAGATTAAAATAAGCCAATAGCTCCCCAGAATCTGCCTTAAGACACCAGAGTCAGCCGGCGCCGCGGCTCACTAGGCTAATCCTCCACCTAGCGGCACCGGCACACCGGGTTCTAGTCCCGGTTGGGGCGCCAGATTCTGTCCCGGTTGCCCCTCTTCCAGGCCAGCCCTCTGCTGTGGCCAGGGAGTGCAGTGGAGGATGGCCCAGGTGCTTGGGCCCTGCACTCCATGGGAGACCAGGAAAAGCACCTGGCTCCTGGCTCCTGCCATCGGATAAGCGCAGTGCGCCGGCCGCAGTGCGCTGGCCGCGGCGGCCATTGGAGGGTGAACCAACGGCAAAGGAAGACCTTTCTCTCTGTCTCTCTCTCTCACTGTCCACTCTTCCTGTCAAAAAAAAAAAAAAAAAGACACCAGAGTCTTGCTGGTGGACACCTGAGTCTGAGCACAGTGTGATTGCCCCACCGCTGGGTCTTCTGATTCTTCTTGCAAAAATGTTCAGCCAGTGTCAGACTCTCGCAAGCTCAGCCTTCCTTCCAGAGTGCCCAAGTGGTCCCACTGCCTTTGTTGCATCTAAATACAATTTAAAAGGCTCTGGGTCTTGAGATCTATAGCCAGCAGTTCCTCTAGCACAGTCATGATCCCTGAGCTGTTGACATGCTCTTTCCCCAAAAACTTCTGTTGGAAAAAAAATGTTTCCAGTCACCCAACCTCCTGCCCTGTAGTCAGCCAAGCAGAGCTGGAAAGTCACTATGATTTTAATCTTGGATAAAGCATCTCAGAGTGAATCCTAAATAAATCCTCATCTGGG